TGGGAGTGTCCCTATGTAGACTGTGTTTATCCAATGTCTTTGGTGTGAGGGCTGGTTCTGATGCAGACACCAGCCATGTCTTTCCTCGGGGTGTGCTGGCCACCATCACCTTGGTAGGGAGTGTAGTTGGTGTTGGAGGATTGAAAGCCTATGCAGCATGTGAGGTGGAACTTTCTCTCTGCTCCATAGCTATCGCTGGCCTGTTGGGGTGGGGTCTGCTCCCCAGTTGCTGGAGCAGAAGTCCTGAGGGTTGGGCTCAAGCAGACTCTGTTCCCTTTGAGTGTGTGTTTTGCCCCAAAGTAAGTGAGGCTTGTGCACTCACAGAGATCTGACGGTATTGCCTGTGTAGGTGTCTGCAGGTCCACTCAGTCGCAACCCAAGTTGTGTCCCTTCCCCTGTTGTAGTCATCTAGTACAATGTCATCTAGCATTGTGTGATCTAGGGCAAGGCTGTGGTGTGGAGTGGGTGGGGCTGGAGCATTCGCTAGGTGGGGGTTGGGAGTTGGGGCACTGTGGCTGAAATTGAAGTGGGCTGCTTCATTAGTGCAGACTGAGTTAGTGCCAGCACTGGTTGCAGCTGCCCCACCTAGACCATACCCCACACCCCCTAGCCTCCTCTGCATCTCTAGATTGAGTCTTCTCCCAGGGCCTGTCCACCTCAGACCCAGTGCCAAGATGTGGTGTGGAGTGGGCAGGGCCGGGGTGTTCACCCCACTTGGATTCAGAAGAGTGGTGAGGTGGCAGCCACCATGCAGAGCTCTCTCCACTCTGTTTGTTGGCAAGCCAGCACCTGCACACTCTTTATGAGTAGAGTCTAGGCTTCTCCAGTTCCTGCGGTTCTCCCAGCACCCAAGAGGGCTTGTCTTCTCCATGTAGGACCCCAAGACTGGGACACCCAGTCTGTCGCTCAGCCTACTCAGTCCCCAGGGCGAGGGTCTGCCTGTGAAGACCTTCTTTTTCTTTCAGATCCCTCCCAGCGGTGGAGGTCCCAACCCTATGCCTTTTTTCCATCCTTACCCAGTCATGTGGAAATCTTCCTTGCAGCTTTGGTTGTACAGGAGTTCTTCTGCCAGTTTCCAGGTAGTTTTCCATGATAATTGTTCCACGTGTAGATGTATTTTTGATGTGTTTGTGGGGGGAGGTGAGCTCCACATCCTCCTACTCTGCCATCGTGATCTGACCTTTGTATGATTATCTGATGCTTTGTTTTAAAAATATTTTCTTCATGTCAAGAAAGAAATCAACCATTCCTTTTTTTCCCCCAGAGTTTTAATCAAGGATGCAAATTAGGGACTTCCCTGGTGGTCCAGTGGTTAAGACTTCACCTTCCAATGCAGGAGGTGTGGGTTCAATCACTGGTTGAGGAGCTAAGATCCCACATGCCTTGCAGACAAAAAAACCCCAAAACATAAAATATTAGAAGCAATATTGTAAGAAATTCAATAAAGACTTTAAAAATGGTCCACATCAAAAAAAAAAAAAAGAATGGATATTAAATAATTCAAATGGCTTTATCTTGTTTCCCTTCTGACAAAATATGCTGTCTAGTTTGTTTAGGCTTTTATAACAAAAATACTATGGACTGGGGTCTTATGAACAACCAACAGTCTTACAGTTTTGTAGGCTGGGAAGTCCCAAGATCATGGTGCCTGCACACTCAGTGTCTGGCGAGCACCCGCTTCCTAGACAACTATTTTTTCACTGTAACCTCATGTGGTGGAAGGAGTGAGGGATCTTTCTGGGGCCACTTTTATAAGGGTACTAATACCACGCAGGTAGGCTATGTCCTCATGACCTAGTCACTTGCCAAAGACCCCACCTCCTAAAACCATCACCATGTGGGGTTAGAATTCCAACATATAACTTTTGGAGGGACACAAACATTCAGTCTGTACCATGTGCTATTAGTTATATCTTCAGTTCTGTTCTAATAAGAGGATGTTGGGCTCTGAGGGTAATGAGAGATTAGCATAGTTTAACAGAGTTACTAATAGAAACTTAGGATATTTGTGACTGAGAAGACAGAGATCTTGGGTCAGATGATCTTTAAATACTTTCCAGTCCAGTTAATCAGAAATGTTTCCCATTGAGGCTTAAACTCAAAACAATATTTAGTTAGTAAAATGGATAGAGCATTTTGTTGGTTAAAGTTACCATCTTCATTTATCAGTGATTTTTATGTTCCTCCATATCTTTATCATTATTATCATTTTTATTAAAGAAATTATCTATTGTAACATTTTTGTTATTCCAAGGTAGATTTTCATCTTACTTAATACATAATTCCTTTTAGAAATTGTAAAGATTCGAGTAGCATATAAGAAAAAAACAAATTAAGGTGATGAAATAACTGTACATTAGCAGAAAATTGTAACTTATACAGAAGAACAAGATCAGAAAGGAAAAAAGGGAACAAATATATTTTTGATGATTACTTTAGGTTACAAAATATCTAATAATAATGAAACTAGTATTTATGCAGTACTTTCTAGGTAACAAAAATATTAAGTATAAAATTTTTTTTAGGTATATTGAATTCTCTTTTCTATTTATTTTACAGGCAGGTCTTTACATTTTTGTGTCTTAGAGAAATTACCTGAAAGCCCTTCCTATATGCTGTGGATGTTAAAAAATCACGTGGTTTTATTCCTCTAAGCATTTTGACCATCTTCCTTCTGTCTCACAGTCTTGTGGAGCTGGCTGGGTTCCTCTGTTTTGCAAGAAGGTACATCTCTCTGATGCTGTGCCTGTAATAGTCTCCTTACTGAGATCTGCCCATGAATATGATATGAAACACGTTGGTTGAGTTTTGCTCATGTGGGGTCTGTCATCAATATGGAATAGAATTCAAGAATTTGACTTTTTCTTCTCTCTCTTCTGCCATTTCAACTGAATTATAGAAATTAGGAATGAAATTTAGTCCTGCCCCTCTCTCTTGGTCAGGCTATTTTTGTTTTCGTTTTTTATTTTTAACCTGTGGGAGTTGGAAATATTTCAGGGTTTCCTTTTTTGTGAAATTATGGTGTAAATGAATCCTTTTGCTTTTGTATTCTTAATGACAGTATAAACGCCTGAGATCAATTTAGTCTTATTGTTGTTAATGACAGTATAAAAGTCTGAGATGAATTTACTCTTAAAGTTGTAGATCTAAAAAAATTTAATAAAGTCAATTGTAATTTTTCCAAGAGAGTTATTTTCAATCAAACACTGAAGAAAATTAACACTGAAGAAATAATAATAACAACTAATAATAACAACTAATAATAACAACTAATGTTTGCTAAGTAATTCCTATATGCCAAGCACTTTAAAATCCTTTACATATACTATCTCTTATATTCCTCATAGCAATCTTATGAGGTCAATACTAATATTATTCTCTACTTTTCAGATGTGGAAACTCAGAAACAGAGAGGTAATCTAAGTTGCTTGGTGTCAGGCAGGTGGAGAATGGTAAAGCCAGGATGTGACCTAAACTGGAAGATAGAGTGGATTAGGCATATTCCAGAACAGGGATTCAGATTCAGGGTTTCTGCTTTATAAGTTTTGAATTTATAAGTCATTTGTCTCTCTCTAATGAAGAATATAATTTTCAGTCAGCAGTTAAGAAATGTCCATAAAGGATGTATTTAGATGGTCTAAGTCTAAGGACTTGAGATTACACAGTCGCTCTCTGCAGGGTTAATGTAATAGATAAGTTAGTATAATAAATATTTAACATTTATTAAGGGCTTACTATGTTCCAGGGTAAGTGAGTTATCTGTATAAGTTAACTAAATTTGCAAAATAACTATGAAATAGGTATTATAATTATCATTGCCAATCATAGCTGAAGCCACTGAAGCAAAGACGTGTAACTTGCCCAAGGCCAATTAGCAATAAGTAGCACAGCCCAGATTTGAACCCAGACAGTCTTGCTCCAGAACCTGTATTCTTAATCACTTTGTCATGCAGTTTCTCTAAGTCAGTAAATAGTCACCTGATACACGGTCACAGCAATAACAGTCACACCGAGAAATCAGTGATAAGACTGGATCATCGTGTTTATGCACGTGCAGATTGGAGTCACTTGTACAGGAGAGAAATGTGTTATGGCTCAAAGGAGGAAAAAGGCTTTTCTCTGAATATGAGACAACCTGAAACGAGTATGGAAGTACAAAAAGAAAACTTAATTTGGAAAGGGAGGCTGTTAGCTTGTGCTTCCACAGAAGACAGGAACAGACTGATGGGATATGGTGAGCGCTCAGAAGCTGTGGTCCTGAGCGAGTTGTGGTGGTGTGGTTTGGAGTTTTACCTCAGAGGTAAAAGGGGACAGTTTGAAAGAACAGTTCTAGAAAGTGAATTTGATAAACTCAGCATGGGGAGAGGTTGAATCAATATCAACTCCAATTTAGATTAATATCAACTTCAGTTACAAGTGTTTCCAGTGATGTGAGAAGCATCTGGAAATTAGCAGAAAAAACTTGACCATTTGGGGTGATATTTCCCCCTTCACGCCAAAATCATAATAGTTTTCTTTTTCTTGTGGCAGTGAAATCACAGACCTGGGTTTATCTGGCACTTTTCTTCCTGGGAATCCAAACATTTCCCCAGATGTTGTTCTGTGGTTTTCGTACACAGTGTTCTACCCCTATGCAGGGCCACATATGCAGACCTCTGTGTTTGGGTGGGAAGAGAGTAGCTCTCGAGCCAGTCAGTGACCAGAGTGCTGGTTGTACCAGTTTTCTTCCAGATGTGTGGGCCTTCTAGTCTGCAGCCTAGACGTCATGTAATGAAGTAATAAACTTCATGTAATGTTTTCAATGAAATTTTTATTAAATTGAAGTTTCTAAGTTATTTTTATCAAAAAGAAAAATTACATTCACATCAAAAGCAAGTAAACCAATATTGCCCACCCTTTCCCTTCCTCACATGAAAACAGAGATCAGTGAAAGTCTTTTAAAAAATACTTTTTTGGTCCATTTCCACTTTCCAGGTAACCTGGTGGCTTCTTTTCTCAAGCCCTCACACAGGTATTCAGGAATACCAGGATGGTGTGCCAAAGATCCCAACAGCTTGTATTACGGTGGAAGATGCAGAGATGATGTCAAGAATGGCTTCTCGTGGGAGCAGAATTGTCATTCAGCTGAAGATGGGGGCAAAGAACTACCCAGATGCTGATTCCTTCAACACCGTAGCAGAGATCATCGGTAGCAAGTATCCGGAGCAGGTGAGTGAAGGCAAGGGATGGGCTGTCTGGGAATAAGGTGCTGTGGTCAAGTTTTAGTTTTTAGAGACAGTTTAGGAAAGAGAGAATGAGTCTGCAGAGAGTGTCTTCATAGACTCCTTAACGGCAGACATTTTTTTGTTTTTCCTTCGAGAGTTTACTACTTTGACCGAAGAAGGGCAGGACTAACTGAAGGGCATAATATGATCCACTGTGTGGAAATTCAACTCCGAATAGTTGAGGGCAGTATTTGTCCATATGTGTTGTATTTCTTCCATTTGGAGCCACTTGGCATTTGAGATCATACCAGTAGTTGACGGCGTGCTTATTGTGTGACTTACCTTCCTCCATCCTTTCAAAGCTCTGTGAAATAAGTCTGTTTTCTTCATTTTGCGGGTGAGGAAATTAACCTAAAGGAAACTCACTTGCCTAAGGTCCATACAGCTAGTAAATGGCTGAGAAAGGACTCAAACCCAGGACCTTGTGAATATTAATCCAAGCTATAGAGCACAGTTTCTGTGAAACCTTTAGAGGGTTTTTGGGGTTTTTTTTTTGGAAACTTCAAATAGTCTTAGATGCGTATTCAAACTGTATACTAGCCGAAGCTTAAATGACTTCAGCAAGTTACTTATTCTCTAAGTCTTAGAGAATTTATCTACAAAGACAGGGATGGTGTATGTAAGGAACAGGATTACTATGAGGACTAGACTAGATAATGTATCTCGGATAGCCTCCTACTATAGTGTTTGTCGCATCACATGCACTCATTGAATGTCATGTCAGTTTACTTCCTATGACATCAAGTGTACAAAAGATGGTTTTCATAAGGTTTCTGGTACAAACCTTCTTTATTAGTAGTTATTGAAATTCTGAAAATAGCACTTAAAAATATAGCTGTTTGGGCAGTTCAGACTTGTATTTTGTTTAAGAACGTCAGTGGGATGAAGGAACAGGCACATAGTAATGGAGAAACAGTCCTTCTGCGCGTGTCCTGACTCAGGGCCTCTCTCACACTTAAAGGGTTGCGCTGCGGTAAAGATGCGTTTTACGTTTTGGGACCCTTTTCTCCCTTCCTAAATGACCTGCTCCCTGGACCTGGGCATGCGTCAACCCTGGGGTTACGGCCACAGGAATAACGGAAAAGCAAGATCTCAGTAGGACCATGGAGAGTCAGACAGTGTAGAGAAACTGTAGTTTTTTTGTTTGTTTTTTTTTTTCTGCGGTACACGGGCCTCTCACTGTTGTGGCCTCTCCTGCTGCGGAGCACAGGCTCCGGACGCGCAGGCTCAGCGGCCATGGCTCACGGGCCCAGCCGCTCCGCGGCATGTGGGATCTTCCCGGACCGGGATGTCCCAGGCATCGGCAGATGGACTCTCAACCACTGCGCCACCAGGGAAGCCCGAAACTGTAGTTTTAAATGTTGAGAAAACAAATAAGCCCAGCCCCTTGTCTCTTTAGGAAACCGAGAACAACAGAAGAGCCAAGAGTCCACGTTTCAGGTACTGAGTAATCCCTAGTCCAGGGTGGGAGGAGGTTAGGATTATATATTATCAGTTGTCTGGATGAACAGGATGATTCTGGCCTAAGGGTGGGTGGCAAGGTGAGAGTGAGTTATCTGAAATGGCCAGTGGCTGTCGGGCTCTGAGGTCAAAGCATTATAAAACGGAGGCGTTCTCGGGCTGCAGCAGCTGGAGGGTTGAGGCAGTGCTGGCTCAGAGCTTCCCGGGAACCGCCGGCATCTTCCAGCTGAGCGTGCTCGGGCCTCTCCTCCTCAGCCCTGCGTGACTGTTTTTCCAATCCGTTTTATTGAGGTATAATTTACATAAAATAAACTTACCAAATTTAAGTGTACAATTCGATGAGTGTTGAAAACTGTAATCCAGTAGTGTAAGTACATTCATAGCAGAGAGTATTTTCATCACCCCAAATGTTCCCTTGTGCAGTCTACTCCCCTGTGCCCTGGGCACCACTGATCCGCTTTAAGGAACTATGGCTTTTTCTTCTCGAGAGTTTCATATAGGGGGAATCACGTAAGCGGGGTCTTCCGGGCTGGCTTCTTTCACTCAGCATAATGCTTTTGAGGTTCATGCGTGTTGTTGTATCTGCTGTCCATGCCTTTATACTGCTGGGTAATATTTCACAGCATCACCTCAACCCTGCAGCTGCTGCAGCCCAAGACACATTTCACAGTGTGTTTATCCATTCACCGCTGATCATGGACATTTGGGTGGTTTTTAGTTTTTGGCTGTTACGAGGAAAGTGTCTGTGAACATTCTTGTATAAGTCTTGTGTAAGTCTCCCTATGGCCGTATGTTTTCATTCCTCCTTGGGTAGGTGCCTAGGGGTGGAACTGTGGGGCTGGCCTGAATCTTAAGGACCCTCATCTCTGTCAAGATGCTTCAGCCTCTGTATTCCATGGGGGCAGCGCCTCCTCCGGGAGAGTGATGGACAATTTCAGAGCTGTCCCAGGAATCAGGATTAAACTTTTACCTCTATCATAACGTTGCACAGCATTCCAAGAGTTAGTTATAAATACCTTGTTGCCTACATGTAAAAGATAGAAGATTAACAAAAGGTCTCCCACAAAGAAGTTGCAGCATCATTTGCCCAGAAGGAATGTGGGTGAGTGCAGTGAAGTGAAGTCCATGTGTCTGTGTTTGGGGGGGAATCTGCCTTACAGCCTGCCTGGAACCACAGGGCATGTCTAGACCAGAAAGGGAAGTGGAAAGCATGTGTTCTCCCCTCCAGGTGTGAGGTGAGTTAATGAACCTTAGTAAGCACCGTCCATCCCTGATAAAGCCTCCCCTGGGAACCCTCCCCTCATCCCACCACTTTATGCCATTGTTATGCTGTCATCTCCCACCAGAACTTGCAGATGCCCTGAGCATCTATTTACTTTCTATTTACTTTCTATTTACTTTCTTTTTATTTACTTTCTATTTTCTTTCTATTTACTTTCTTTTCTTTTTTTCCCTATCCAAGAACTTGGCATGCAGTAGCTTCTCAATGCATATTTTAATTCAGTAAAATGAAGAGAAGAATAAAGGAAGAAAACAAGTAGAAGATTTTCTTAATCTCTATTCTCTTTAAATCCAGAAGTTTTCCTGCCCATTTGGAACATTGGTTGTCCATAGGCACATTGGACATCACCCATGAATGCAGCTCTGTATGGCTAAACTCGAGTCCATCAACTCCCTCACACCTAACACCTCGCCTTGGTTTCTTGTCTCTGTTAAAGGAACCATATTTACCTATCAGCACAGTTCAGAAACGTCAAGTTGTTTTTCATTCTCTCCTCTTTGTTACTGTCCTACAGTCAGGAACCATTTCCTATTCAGTCTACTTTCAGCCTATTAAAAAAAAAAAAAAAAATCTGTCCCTGTCTTGTCTTTACTGTCATTACTGTTCTAATTCAGACCCTTGCTATTTCCCTCCTGACTTTCTTTTCTTCTGTTCTCTTTCTGCTTCTGCATTTTTGCAATGCAGTTCAGTTATCTTTTAAAACACCGATCTCAAAATGGTGTTTCCATGCTGTCAGGTCCCCTCTCCTGTTCCCTATAAGATAAAGGTTATGATCTAGGTAAATGCTGAGGTAAGTGACCAGAGGTGAAGAAGACGGAAGAAAAGAGACCATGCAGGGGGACGTTTGGGGGGGTTAAATAGGAGGCCGTTATGGTTAAATAAAATAGTACTATTTATAAATGAGCAGAAAATTAGAATGAAGAAAGAGGGAAAGGAAGTGTATGATGGAGATTCAGTACCAGCTAAGACCCATTCTTTCATTGGCTAGTGAAGGAGTTCAGCTCTCCTAAACTCTGACAAGCTTTTCTAAAATCATTCAACTTTATTTTAAATGATAAGTATGCTGAATGACATAAATGTTGGCCTTGATACTTTAGGTTGACTGACTTATCCCTGACACATCCTTGCTACCTTGCTCCTTTTTATACTAAAGAATAGTGCTAAATAATGCTGAGCAAACTAGATGGAGTGGAAATTATTTCTAAAAATGAAGAGGAACCCAGCAATCCCACTACTGGGCATATATCCAGAGAAAACCATAATTCAAAAGGATGCGTGCACCCCGATGTTTATTGCAGCACTATTTACAATAGCCAGGACATGGAAGCACCTAAATGTCCATCGACAGAGGAGTGGATAAAGAAGATGTAGTACATATATACAGTGGAATATTAGCCATAAAAAGCAACGATATAGTGACATTCGCAGAGACGTGGATGGGCCTAGAGACTGTCATACAGAGTGAAGTAAGTCAGAAAGAGAAAAACAAATATCATATAATATCACTTATATGTGGAATCTAGAAAAATGGTAGAGATGAACTTATTTGCAAAGCAGAAATAGAGTCACAGATGTAGAGAACAAACTTACGGCTACCAAGGGGGAAAAGGGGGATGGGATGAATTGAGAGATTGGGACTGACATATATACACTACTATATATAAAATAGATAGCTAATGAGAACAGACTGTATAGCACAGGGAACTCTACTCGGTGCTCTGTGGTAACCTAAATGGGAAGGAAATCTAAAAAAGAGTGCATATGTGTATACGTGTGACTGATTCGCTCTGCTGTACAGCAAGAAACTAACACAACATTGTAAAGCAACTATACTCCAATAAAAATTAATAAAAGTTTTTTTTTAGATTAAAAAAATAAAAATGAGGATATGTTGAAATCACCATTGTTCTTCCTGGGTGACTTGAAAGTGAGCTAACACTCAGGCAGTGGCTGATACTCTTGGGTGGTGACGCCCAGCACAACCCCTTACATGCACAGCACCTTGATGAAAGGGAAGCAGTTAACACGTAAAGAATCCTTCTGATTTGGCCTGAGATCCATGGACAACATGTGGTGAATTTCAGCTCTGGAAAAGTGAATATGTGATTAACGAAGCATTAACATATTTCAGAACCCTACCGCATAATCCAGACATAAGCCTTGACTGAATTAACCACAGGCTTTTTAAAAAATGCCAATCA